CACACACACACACACACACACACACACACACACACACACACACAAACGCACACACACACATGCATACACGCATGCATGTAACCATGCATGCATGCATACACACAACACACACACACACACACACACACACACACACACACACAATTTTAAAAAATCTAGACTGTAAGAGATCAAGTGGTCAGCATAATAAAGAAATGATAAGGAGGCCTGGCTGGTAGTGAGTGCCTTTAATCAGAGTACTTCAGAGGCAGAGAAAGACAGATCTCTGCAATTTCAATGCTAGCTTGATCTACATGAGATGTTCTATCAGGGCACATAATTCTGATAAAGTCACATGGTCACTGTGCACCACAGATATATGTTGAAGTATCATATTGGATTCCATTTAACATGTGTAATTATTTCCTATTCAATCGTAAGAGAAATTGATTTTTAAAGTGTGAAAAGAGAGGAGACAAGAATCTCTGTGAATTCAAGACAACCTGGTCTACACAGCAAGTTCCAAGCAACTCAGAGATACCTAATGAGATCCTACCTCAAACAAACAGATGAACAAAACCTTCTCTTTTTGACAGCTTATACATTACTAGAGAAGGATTGGTTTCATTTGCTTTTCCACTGAAGTCTTCTAGAACTACCTTTTCAGTTCAACAGCAAGCAGGACCGCCCACCAGAACTTTTATGACAAAGGAGTGACCTGACTGTGTTCACCTTGGGGCTTTGAGTCCAGGGCAAATGACATACGTACCACCTTCCTCACAATACTTGCTGGTCTCAGGGAATAGAGGACCTGGGGGTCAGGATGCAGAGTGGCCTTCAGTCTGTCATTCTGTGTTCAAATTCAGCCCTCATCACTCATTGTCACACATCTTGTGAATCTCTACTTTCCAAGAGTTCTGAAGGGCAGATGCTAATGTGCCTCTTGTGATGTTCAGGAGGACCAGCCCTTGGCCACCATTTTGACTGAAAATTCTTCATACTTAGTCTTTCTGCTTATTTTCATTGGATATGAATACATTTTTAGTTTTGAAAATATGATCATAATACATTATAGGAATTTGTGTGAAATCTAAAATAAACAAAAATTCTGAGAAAATGGGGTGTAGTATGAATACATTATAAAAAATGATAGTAAGGGATAGAAGATGGCTTAGCCACTAAGAACAGTGCTGTTGTTGCAGAGGACTGGAATTCTGTCTCTAACACCTACAATTAAGATGCTCATAGTCACCTATATCTCCAGCTTCACGGAACTCAATGCTCCATTCTGGCCTCCACGGGCATCCAAACACAGATGCATGTGCTAAATACACCCACACACTCCCACTCACAAATATATAAATGAAAACAAATCTTTAAAAAGTGATTTCCTCTTCATTGACCTAGGAAATATGCTTGTGAAATGTACATTTTATTTGCCTACAGTTTTATTAAAGTTTATTTTATTTTTTATTCTTTAATTTTTTTTGAGATCTATATATTCTAAATTGGGCTTCTGAAACTTTTTCATCTAAAAACACAGACAAGCACTTTCAGAAATGCCTCAGATTTATTACACGCTTGATTTTGAACACATTTTTGGTTGTTACATGTTCAGAAATCTGTGGCTGTTGCCACATTTTCACAACATTTGGCATTCAGTCACAGGGTTGTGACCCAGAGTTTAAGAGCAGAGTTCTAGTTATCCTCTGTCAGATGAATACCTGGCACATACTTTTCCTCATTCTCTGGATCTTCATTTCACTCTGTTAATTGCTTCCTTGGCTGTGTAGAAGCCTTTTAATTTATGCAAGTCCATTAGTCAAATCTGGTTATTACTTCCAGCACTATTGGAATCTATGAGAAAGTTATGACTTATGACTGTTTCTCAAAGTGTTGTCCCTCAAGAGCTGAACAGATATCAGAAAAATGACCTAATTCATGAGGGAGGTTTACTCAGCCATATGATGTCATTTTCAGAAAAATGAATGGCATTGGAGATGATCATGCTAAGTGAAATAAGCCATTGCCAGGAAGACATTTATTACATTATTTCATACACAGAATAAAAAATTAAACATATAAGAATATTTATGCAATGCATATACAACATGAAAATAGATGAAAGACTTTTTTGTTGTTGTTTTGGTTTTTGAAACAGGTTTCTCTCTGTAGTTTTGGTGCCTGTCCTGGATCTCGCTCTGTAGACCAGGCTGGTCTCAAACTCACAGAGATCCACTTGGCTCTGCTGCCTCAGTGCTGGGATTAAAGGCATGTGCCACTGCTGCCCAGCAAGAAAGACTATTTTTAGAGAACAAAGTGGCCAGTGGGAGAGGAGAAAGATGAGAGAAATTAATGGAGAATGAATATTAGCCAAGTTCATTGTATACATGGATGAAATTATCACAATAAAATCCTTAATCTCTACAATTAGTTAAAAATTTTAAATGAAATCATTAAATTAATTATGTTCATATGAACAATTTTATTGAAAAGCATATATTGACCATGTTAGCTTTGTGGACCAAAATCAAATATGACTTATTTAAAATGTATTAGAAATAAAAATTCATTCCTTGCTTTATAAAGAAAAGTCTTAGGCATAAACAGATGATAGATCAAGGAAGATCCAAGATTCTAAAATTTGAAACACATACAAATAATGTTTACATTTGTCAAATGTCTTATTGCAAAGTCATTTGATTACTGATCTCTTTATTTGTCTTTTTCTAATAACTTTTTCATTTCCTTTCATTTCCTGACACCTCCCCACAATATTCTTATAATAATGATAACAGTGCTAGTACTAGTAATAGTAATAGTAATAGTAATATTACATTTATAAATCTTTCAAATCTGTCAGCTTTACACGCAAGAGCAAAAACATCTTTCGTCTTTCAACAGTTGTAATGAGCATAAAGCATTTATTCTAGTATTTTCTAGATGAGTAAGGTCGTGATCGAGGAAATTAACTTTCCTTGGGTCTCACTATTAAAATATGAAAAATATGATATGGACTCAGGTTTTTGTTTGTTTTGTTATGTTGAGAAAGGGTCTCATGAGTCCTAGGCTGGACTCAAATTCATTGTGTAGCTGAGGATGACCCTGAATTCCTGATCCTCCTGCCCTACCTTCAGAGTGCAGGAATTAATGGTGTGTATCATCACTCCTGGTGTAACATGTGGTGCTGGGAGTTGAACCCAGGGCTTTATGAATGACAGGCAAACCTTTACCAAGTAAGTGATGCAAGTTATTTCTGAAAGAAATTATTTCTATTGTAGCAACATATGTTGAAGCATCTTGCTCTAAGAGTTTCCATAAGTATGAGAAAACGAACATTTTTGAATGAAAAAAAAAACCCTACAGAGACAGCTGATATAATTAAATAATTAGAGAGTTAAAGAATTGAATACATTGCTCATTTATGTAAGTACACACAGAAAGTGACTTGGAAAGATCTATCAAGCCAGGCTTTTGGAGCAACCACAATTTTGGGTCCCTTCCACCTTGGAAAAAAGCCAGGAGCATGCAGTGACAAAAATGAAAGATTAGTGACTTGTGATATTTTTAGGATATATTTATGCTTTCTTAGTTGTCTTGTTTTTTTGGCTTTAAGGTATAGAATATTATCTGCAAGTAGGATTTTGAGTGAGTTCCTGAGGGAAATCCATAAATGAGAAACAGGTCGGACATTGCTGAGTGGTTCCAGATCTGAGGAACATTAAAGAGATTCCTCAGCCTGAGAAATGAAATGTTCATGCCATCACTTGTATCAAAATGTATGTGAAAACACTGTTCATAGCAGAGAAATGAATTTATCCTGAGGACAAGAGGCAAGCTGGTCCAAGTGCATCAAATATATAATCCAAGAGAGAAGGATGAAAAAGATTCAATCCCTTTCAATTTGCTCATTTGCATTTTTTTCTGAGATCTTTTGCTCTGTTTGTGATTTATGAGTTCTTTACATGAGCACAACAGTTGGCTGAACAGATCACACTTAACTGCAGCCACACACGCAGGAGTCCAGAAGTTTATAGTAGAAACATTTCTCACACAAAATTGCCTCACGTGCAGCAGGCTCAATTCTTAGGGGATTTGATCCAGTTGAGTACATCTTGCTCTCTCCTCTCCCCTTCCATAGGGTAGGGGCTGTTCTGCCCACCTGCACTTCGTTAGAGAGCCGAGTGTTCACATGCTACACCACAAGAACCTACCATGACACAATCCATCCAGAGACTGGCGTGACTGGGCTGGTCCCCCCCACCCCCACCCTCCTCAGCTCTTGTATCACTGAGAGTCTGGCAGCCAGTTCCACCCTGACAGAGTTCACAGCATATATTAGTGGATCCTTGTTCTCAGTGTGTCTGTTTAAGGAATTAACGGAAGCAGTGTCGAGTAAGGTAAGTGCTGTTTTAACGATAGCCCAGGGGATGCTGAGTCTTTGGGACAGTGTTTAATTTTAACAGAAACAGAAAAAAAAATATCTAGAGAAATTTTGCCAATTTGCTATTCAACGTCAGGTTTGAACATTTATTTTTACATTTTACTTAATAGGTTCTTCCATCATTTATGGATAATTTTCACAGTGTGTGCCGGATTGATTGGCAAGGGGAATTTAAAATGTTCCAAGGTCACAGTGAGAAAATAGTTAAACTAGACATTCAAAAAGTACAGAAATTAAAATGCTAACCATTTTTGCTGATTAACTACATATGCTTATATTGTTGAAACCTAGTATTGGAGCAGAGAAAGGTCATTGCTACCAGCATCCAACAGATTTCGCAATAAAATATGTTGTTACAGGTTACAATAAACATTCTGTGTTATAAAACATTAACTGAATAACTAGATATTTGTATGGATTGCTTCTTCATGTTTTGCTAATTTTAAAGATTTGTGATTTGGGATGTACACCTTGAAGAACATGTTTTAAAGAAATTCTGGGAAACATTTTTCCTTTTTGCAAAGAGCTTTTCTTTTATGGCCACAGTTATTTGAAAAATATGAGTGAAAGTACAGTGTGAACTTTCTTTCACAGTGGAGGCACTGTATGTTTACAAGCTCATTTTGAATTCAGAGTGTTAGTTTTTACTTTGCCAAAACTTTGGAAGAAATTTTTGATACTATGCCTATTCAATTAAAAAAGTCAAAACTTACAAATGAATCCATAAAACATTATGCATCATTAATATGTTGAAAAGTATGAGGAATTCTATTACTATGCCTGTGTTCCTAGTGCTTAGCTATGGGCAAAACCTGTCTTCTACATTAAAGACCTCCATCAGAATCATGGGGGAGGGGAGCATAATTTATTAGCACCGTGACTATATTCCATGTTAGAATTTTAAGTGTTTCTTTTGTAAAATCTTCTTCAGTGTTTCATTTGATGAAGTCTATTAGGATTCTAAGGTATATATTTAAAATGCATGGTCTCCCAACTCCTGCTCACTCCAAGCTACCTGACAGAAAGCTTGTCTCATACTATTCACATAAAATATCACACAATGCCTTTGATTTGAGTGTGAATTCTCTTCACATCATCTCTCTCGAAGGAATAGCGACTTTTTTTGGTAATGTATTCTTTGAATACCAGCTCTTATATTCCAGCTTACTTTTATGCTGCTAGCTTTTCTCTGAAAGCTGAAACATTGTTGACCATCCTCTTAGAAACATGTTACATAAAAATAACTACCAGGAAACATTTTGATTTACACTCTCAACTTAATACCTTATACACAGGTCATGATGCCATCATTGCTATTGCTATTATTATTGTTGTTGCTGTTATTTTGTCTCTCTCATTCTCTCGTCTCTCCTACTTCCATTTTGTAAAGACACTAAACTTTGGATTAGCAAATCATATCACTTACACTTTTGCTCAAAGAAGATATACTTTTAATGTATTGAGAAGGGAAAATAACTTAATTTTTAAAAGTTGGAAACAAGCTATTTTTCTCTAGCTGGGATCCTTTTGGGTTTGGGTTTAAAAGCCAAGACTGTCTGACATTTTTTTCTGTTGGGTAAACATCTGTTCTTCTAAAATTAATTTACTAAATAGTAGCTTTGTAGTACCGTTTTGCAGTGGGTTTTAAAGCATGGAATGTTAAGCTGCAAATAATGTAAATATCCACCTAAGAATCCACCACCCCCATTCCTCTGAATCCACAATGATAACAAGGCCCTTTGAAAGGAATGTGCTTGCGGCCCCTTCTGCTTCACAGGCAGCTAGAGCTCTGCTGCCTTCAGGAAAAAACACAGATTGCTCCTGTTCCCAGCTAGGATCTTTCTAATGAGGCGTCTTAATGATGTTGATGGCAGAGTGCACTGAGGAATTTACAGTAGTCTTCTAATTTTCATTTCTTCTGGTTTAGAGAAATGTCCTTAAGTAGGGTTCAGACATGGTTTTGAGATGGGAGCTACCTCCTAATTAAGTGAGGACCAGAAGCAAGGGCTAAAGGGGTTATGTTAGCTATACCCAGAAGGGGGCGCATGTGCACATACCTGAAACCTGCTTCCTCCTAACGGTGTAAACACAACACACCCGGATCCTTATGCTTAAATATAAAAGTTTAAATGACAGTGAAGACACTACTTTAAGAGGCATTGAAAATGAAATAACAAAATGAACTTTGTTGATGGATTTAACGTAAGTCAAACTTTTTCTTGGAGTTATATTATTTCATAATAATTTGTTTCCACTTTATTTAGGATTCAAAGCACTTACTGAACATGAATCTATGTGCATTTGCACTTCTCCTGGCGTTAGCCAGTGGTGCCAGTGGCCAATACTATGATTATGACGCCCCTCTCTTTATGTATGGGCAATTATCACCCAACTGTGCCCCAGAATGCAGCTGTCCCCACAACTACCCCACCGCCATGTACTGTGATGATCTGAAGCTGAAAAGTGTCCCCATGGTGCCCCCTGGCATCCAGTACCTTTACCTGAGGAACAACCAGATCGATCATATCGATGAAAAGGCTTTTGAGAACGTGACCGATCTGCAGTGGCTCATTCTAGACCACAACCTTCTAGAAAACTCCAAGATAAAAGGAAGAGTTTTCTCCAAGCTGAAACAGCTGAAGAAATTGCACATCAACTACAACAACCTGACCGAGTCGGTGGGGCCACTGCCAAAGTCCCTGCAGGACCTGCAGCTCACTAACAATAAAATCAGCAAGCTCGGCTCCTTCGAAGGGCTGGCCAACCTGACCTTCATTCACCTTCAGTACAACCAGCTCAAAGAGGATGCTGTGTCCGCCGCTCTGAAGGGTCTGAAATCGCTAGAGTACCTTGACTTGAGCTTCAATCAGATGTCCAAGATACCTTCTGGCCTCCCAGCATCACTGCTCACTCTCTACCTGGACAATAATAAGATCACCAACATCCCTGAGGAGTATTTCAAGCGCTTTACGGGGCTTCAGTACCTGCGTTTATCTCACAATCAGCTGGCTGATAGTGGAATACCTGGAAATTCGTTTAATATATCATCCCTTCTCGAACTGGATCTCTCCTATAATAAGCTTAAAAGCATACCAAATGTTAATGAAAACCTTGAGAACTATTACCTGGAGGTCAATGAACTCGAAAGTAAGTATAAAGCTGCCCCTGTGTTTGACTGCTGTATCAGGTGTGAAAATACTGAAGCATCACAGCATATTTAAGAATGAATTAAAAGAACAACAAAATTCAAACATGGAACTCTAGCTCAGTCACACACTGAGTTCTTCCTAGCCTTACCTCAGGGTGTCAAGACCAAGAGCAGTTAAAGTCATAGAATTTTCCATTAAATTTTTCAGGATTTAATATTTGAGGGTAATTGACATGGCTGCTTTAGCTCTTCATATTTATCTGTTCTTGCCTAGTTTGTTCCTGATGTAGATTTATGTGCTTCCTTTATTATTTGGTAAGATTCGACTGTGGAAAGGAAGACAAAAGTTCAGAAGCAATATAGGAAGCACAGGCTCTCCAGCATGCTCCCACTGTCTGACGCAGACCACACATCTATTGTCCCATTGTCCCCAACCTCTTGAGAGTCAGTGTGTTTCCCTCTTAACATGGCCAACACCACCTCTCTTCCCTCACATGGTGTATGTTTCCTTCACAGTATTTTCCTGAGGATTCAAAGGAAGATTAAGAGTGGAAAGATGTTGGTGAAGATTTCAAGTATCTATTTATTTAAAAATATCCTTATAGAACCCTTTGTACAACCCTTCACTTACCCACAGTCATACCTTCTCTTCACATGCTGCCATATTTTATTTTTTTTTGCTTATCTCTGTGATGGAGCTGGACTTGATACAGGCTTCCATTCTCCTTGGCTTACTTTCATTTAGACAGTATGGAATTAGACATGAAATCAAAATATTCCATCCCAACCTGACCACATAGTAAGAGTTTGGGAAAGGGATGTATTAGTTCGCGAATACATGAAAAATTCGGGTGGGAAACACCATTTTACATAGAAAACAATTATATGCAAGTTGAACTTGTTTATTTAAATTGAACTTGTTTATCTAATGAAAAGTTCACTTCCCTTGACATGATAAACACATTGCTATCAGAAAAATTATATGGGACATTGTGACTACATTGCAATCTTTCCATGATTCCCATAATGTAGCTCCTGGGTTGCATAATCTCATGAAGGAGACAGTGATTGATAACATGAGCACAATGCTCTCTGTTTCATTTTTAAAGCCACCAAAGCAAGGTTTGGAACTGTTTGACTGACTGTCACATTATATATGGTTCAGACTATCATAATTCTATTAGCACAATTGTTTATAAAGTTCACTATGTGACAATTCATGTTCTTTCATTTTTCTAAGTAATAATTACATTTACTAATTGCAATTATCTGAGTCTAAATCAGGTTCTTCACATTGAACACTACATTTAGTGAGAAACATTAATGACATGTAAAGGCACATTCTTCAGTACATATGGAAAACTGGTTCTCAAACTGTCTTGCATTCAAAACTCAAGTCTATTATATAAATGGTATAACACTTTTGTGTAACCTTATGCATATCCTCCCTTGTACATGAAATCATCTATAGATTAATTATGATGCTCCACAAAATGAAGATGCTGTCTGTTTAAAACATTTTGCATTACTTATATATATACAAATTTAAAAATATTTTGGCTTGTTATCACATCTGAAAATGAGAAACATGCCCCCCCCCAAATACAATGCTGTACTATATAACCACAAACAATTATCCCTATTCCAGTCATGTGAATAAGAGTTAGCTTAAATCAATCTTATCTTCTTTAGGTTAAGTGATTTGAGAATGAGCAATAGGTTAAAAAGAAGATACCAGTGATTGTTGACGGTATTATGTATGTTGTTATGCTGCGAGGTGCTTTGAACAATTCAATAATTTTAATGCAACTTACTGAAAGCAGTACATTATACCAGACAGAGGGGGCAGCAAAGAGTTCCAAGTTCCCAAGCTATGGAGTAGGGATAGTATCCAATCACAGGCCTAAAGTCATCTTCTTTCATTGCATCACACTTTCTCAGAGATGGGTATTGTAGAAAGAAAGACCATGGACTTACACTGAAATGTAATGTAAATAAGCACCATGAAAGAATGGAGTTCTTCTATGGAGAGTGTTTGAGTTTTCCTCATCATTGCTAACTAGACTTTGAGCATAAAAAGAAAACAGCAAACTAAGGACCAGACAAGGTCAAGTTCCAATTGACCAGGGTAAACATAGGTAGTTCTAGTAAAGCTTGTTGTTTCTATTAAAATACTAGATGAGTTTTGGTTCATGATAGCTTCTCAACCACCAACCTACCCTGGCTACACATTCTGTGATTTGGTTTATGCCTTGGGGTTTTGATTCTCAGCCATCATGTGTGGTTAATGGAAAATTCTTTAGTGATCATGTAGTCAAGTCTATTGTTTTTCAGCTGGAAATACCAAGGATGTGAGTTTTTCATTGATGTGTTATTCATACAATTCATAGTTCTTCAGGTCAGACTAAACATTTGAAGACAGTTCTAGCTAATTCATATTAGCTGAATGCATTTTAAGCCTTACTATTAAAGTTAAATAAAAATTGTATTTTTTTGAGAAATTTCCTTGAGCCTCTCAATTTATCATTATTAGTGCTTATTAAATATTTCTGTGCCACTTTAGTAGCCTGAAATATAAGCTCAGTGGTCTTTATCTCACAAATACATAGTAAAGATGGCTTTCTACATGGGATATCCTATCTAACAACAAATCAGTCAGAGGGTATTTCCTTTAAATAATAATTTCAAGATCATACAATGAAATATGATTGATCTTTTTTATTCTTTCATCCACAGAGTTCGAAGTCAAGAGTTTCTGTAAGATCCTGGGACCACTATCTTACTCCAAGATCAAGCATTTGCGCTTGGATGGCAATCCCCTCACCCAAAGCAGTCTACCCCCTGACATGTATGAGTGTCTACGTGTAGCAAATGAAATCACTGTTAATTAACATTTTTTAATAACTGTTAATTAACAATACATGGAAGTATGTTCTGGAGCAATACTTCATGGTTAGGTATTCTGGGGATGTGTGTAAAGTTTTCACAATATTCTTTCGTTGTTGTTGCTATTACTTCATGGATTTTAATTAATGAAGGAAATGTTTTGTGAACATTTACCACTTTTTAATAAAAGATGAAAAGCAGGCCTATTTCATCGTGAGGACAGACACACAAATACATTAAACCTAGTTCTTTATTTGTAAATTTAGTGTTTTCTAAATCTCTGTGTCCAAAAGTTATGAAGTCTCTTTACTGATTGTATGGAAATCAGCCAAGTTTTTATGGTCCTTACAATTTAATTTAATGACCTCAAAAATAGGAAATAAATATGCATAGATGTTTATCCTAATACAAATATGTTCAAATCTTGATATGTTCAAATTTGTTTTGCTGAAATATAGATTCTGTATTGTGAGGCCAGTAATTTTGCAGTATACCAAAAAAAATTATGAAGCTACACCCACTAAAAGAAATGTATTTAGTACTAAACATTTACATAGTTACTTAAGGAAACTTTTCTTGAATCATTTTTCTCTGTCATGTGTATGTTTCTTTTTGATTATTTGCATGTTACGATTAACAAGCTAATAGCAAAATAAAACATTGCAAATGGCATCATGGTGTTAATTCTTGTGAAAATCATATCTCATAAAATACATAAAGTGATCCAGTCACATTCTAAGACAGCAGTAGTCTGTAATATCTTACTTGTGTGATCATAGAATTCCCCGTGGCTGATTCTAGCATCCCATGCAATGAATTACTAAACCAATTTAATAAAATGCAGTTAGAACTTATATCTTCTTGGATATTGCTGATATTTTCATTTTTTCTCAAGTATATACATTACAACCCCACCAAAGGAGGTGTGGAGAATCTTAGTAGTCATTGCTGAATTCTTAAGTGAGAAGGGTAAGACACAAATGACCAATAAATTTAGTCTGAAAAAAATATTCTAAAATGGAAGTTGTTATGTCCTTAATCCATTGTATTTGAAATGTAGGTGTTGATTTTATATATTAATGATAACAGATTTCAGTGTTGCGTAGTATGGGAGACCATGGTTGTTCATATCAGGAAATAGTAGTAAATGCCATTAAGGAAAACAACCTCTTCTGCCCAGGAAACATTAAGGTTTTTGTTGCTATTGTTGTTTTCTTTCTTTGCATTCAGAATCTTTACCATTATTTTAATATAATTAGATATTTTTATTCTTAGAGAATTCTGTACCATGTATCTCTGTCATATTCACTCCCAGACCCTCATGTCCTCCCAGGAATATCCAGCTCACATTCACATACTTCATGAAATATGTGGATTTGAGATTTTTTTTTACATTGAAAATAGATTTTTTTCATTCAGTATATTCTGATCATGGTTTCCCCTCCCTCATCTCCTTCCAGAGTCTCCTTACCTCACACATCAAATTCCGTACCTTATCTGCCTCCCCAACTCTCTATAGAAAACAAATGAATAAATTAAAAATAATCAAGCTGAAAAAAAAAACAAAGTGAAGGTTCAAGAAGCACATACACAAATAGACACACATACATAGAAAACCCATTCAAACACAAAATCAGAAACAGTAACAGATAAGCAAAAGACCATTAAGGTAAAAAATGCCCAAAGACTTATGAGACCAAAACAAATCTCGAAAAACAACATTGAGTCTGTTTTGTGTTGACCATCTCTGGCTAGATATTGGACCAGCCCTTAGCTGTGATTTGTAGACTCAATGAGATGCCATTGGAGAAAACTATTTTTTTTTCCTTTATGAATGGTTGCCAATCAGAGATAGTTTCTTGGTTAGGGATGGGCAATCATGCTTACTTTTCCATCCCAGTGTAAAGCTTGTTTAATAACAAATGTTATGTAGTCAAAACTACACTCATCCAGTACCACTGAGTATGTACCCCCCAAGAAGAAAGTATGTCTTCAAACATGGTATTTTCAAAGAACAAATTTAATGAACTTATTCTTTCTTTAAATGTCCAGTAACTGAAGATCTGTCTAATGAGTCTGGACCCACTGAGATTGGAATGGGAAGAATATTGCATCAGATGACCATGTACCTGTTAGTCTCATGTCTTTTCTTTGTAGAGTCAAGTTCTTTGAATTGGGATTCAACTCCTTTGAATTGTTCAACTCCTTTCTTGATATAAACTCAAAAGTACTTTTCTTCAACAAATCTATTTTGTAGAAGAAACAAAATTAAAATTTCTTGCTTTCCCATGAAATTCACTACTAGTTCTCAAGTAGATAGAAGAAAATGTGTCATAAGCTCTCTATTAATATATGGCACTCGATGAGCTTTGTCCTTATTGAGCTTAGGAGCACTATCTTGACTGGAAATGTGGCTACGTTTTTCAAAGCCTTATATCTACTTCTATCCAAAGTATGATATTATTCTTAAATCTAAATTATAAGCCAGTGACTTAAAACAGCAATCCTCTTTGGAGTTGGGTTGAATTGACAAAGACAAAATTAAAGTACAGGAAAATATTTCCTTGTAGAAGGATCTGTCAGAGTTAATTGATCATGGTCTGGATGTCATCTTCTAAGAGCAGAGATGGACAGAGCCTCTAGTAGTCTTCTCTATTTCATGGCCCAGTTTTAGGCAGGTAGACAGGATGGAAAAGCCAGATACTGATAAATATATTATTTCCTTGTGGTCCCAGATAAGATAGGGTTTTTCAAAATGTCTGATGTCTACCAGTGCAAAGGCCCCAGATACAGAGACCCAGCAGATTGCACAGTTGAATGTCCAGCATTTCATAACAGCCTCGCTTTGATTATTATTCTCATCATAATGACTCAGTGTGGCGCCATTAACACTAGCTCAGCTAGTGAAGTTTCAAACAGTAAAAGACAGACATTGTCCTTTTCCTAGAGAAATATGACAGAAAGAAGCCTGCTGTTCACAACATCCACCAAGAGATTCAAAACCCTTTGCATATTCACACAGAGTAAACTTGCGATTTTGTAAGAAACTGCCACTGACCTAAGATGCTTAGGCACTTCTAGGCAGCTTTTCTCTTTCAGAATGGCACAGTCTGGACTCCAGGCAAATGGATGGAACTAGAAAAAAAAAATCAACCCAGACCCAGAAAGACAAACATGGTATGTACTCACTCATAAGTGGGTATCAGATGTAAAGCAAAGGATAACCAGGCTACAATTCACAGCTCTAGAGAAGCTAGGTAACAAGGAGGACCCTAAGAGGGACATGCATAAATTGCCTTGGGAGGGGGAAATAGATAAGATCTCCTGGGTAAACTGGGGAGCATGGGGTTGGGGAGGGTGGGAGAAGGGGAGAGGGAGGGAGATGAGAACTGGGGAGGAGGGGAATAGATGGTCCAGTAGGGGGAGGGACGGAGAGGGAGAGCAATGAAAGAGATATCTTGATAGAGGGAGATATTACAGGGTTAGGGAGAAACCTGGTGCTAGGATAGTTTCCATGAATTCATAAGGATGACCCCAGCTAAAACTCCTAGCAATAGTGGAGAGGGTGCCTGAACAGGCCTTCCGCTGTAAAAAAAAAAAGATGGCTTCAGATTCATTTTGATTGAATTTTCAACAAGGGAAATGAATCAAAACAGGATGGATTTATAGAAGGAATGCCCCTCAGCTGACTCAAAAAATGGTTTTGATTTCATCTCTTTTGGAATAAATTTTCCCATGAATGGAGCAAATCTCTGAAGAATAAAGATTTTTCTTTCCCTAAGTTGGATTTACTTAAACTCTTAACTGTGGTCCCTTAATTAAATGGAAAGCAGAAGAATGAGCATAGCCCCTCTTTGTTCTCAAAATGTCCATTTGAAAGTTCGTCTTTTATAGTGCAAGGGACTATAATATTCTCTGGTTTTGAGGTTTGAGACAGTCCCCAGTGCTCTATTAAGTATAAGAAGATACATGAGTAACAGACCACTAAATGAACCAGAGGAATGCTGATTCCTTAACTTATAAGTTCTTTTGCTGGTAATAGCTAGGTTTTCAGAAATATTGGAGGGTTTGAAAAATTGGGTTTACAAAGGACTGAATTTCTTTGCTTATGGTCTTTTAAGTTTGGGGTTCAGTATTCCCACAGCTATGATTTTGTCATAATGATGGCCTTAGATTTTTCTTTGGTTAGATGCACCCACCATAGATGCTTAACATTTATTCACAGTAAGAAAAATAGTCTTGATATTTAAAAGACCCAAAGTCAACTTTAATATCAGAACTTAGAATATACAAAAAATAAGAATGACACTAACTTAGACATGTTGAAAATATATAAAATGAATAGGAATATATCTTAAAGATATCCAGTGAATTATATTAATTTACTAACATATACATTCAATAGATTTTTTCAGTAAGAACTATGAGGTGGAAACAAAATGTGTGAGAAAAGAAGCTGAAGTTTAGGTAACATAAGTAGATGAGTTTTTATGCATATTAATCTCGCTATACAATCAAACCCCTGTGTGCCAGTGTCTCTCTCAGATTTTATTAGGTCAAATATTGACTAAATTGAATAAATCTATTCATGCCTTGTGTCTTTAAAATATATCTGGTATTCTGTGTACTAGGAAAGTAATAAGTACCCCACAATTTGAATACTTGCGTGAGTCCCAAATGCTGTGGGTTATATGTATTTCCACAGATGTCACTTCAAAACTTTCTCATATTTCATCTGGATGAGGGAAGCTGCTCGGGCTTTGAGTCACTTCAGTATCCATACAAACCTGCTTCTCCTTTATCTACTGTTCAAACCTAGCATGAGATATGTCATTGCTTTCTGAATATGACCAGGGGCCTCTGGGGAGGACACAGGGATATCAAAATCCTTTGTGATCTGCTTCTAGTTGTCCTCTCTAGACATCTTCTGCCAGGTTTTGTAAGGCCAGTTGTGCACCATATAAGACACTATTAATATCTTTTATCATAAAAGGATAATTATTTATTACAAGATTAAAATTCATTATCAGATGTTCATTCTATTAAAAGTTCTCTTGTGTACTTCAGTAGGTATTTTTTAATTAATTCATTTAACAAACATTTAGTAACCCTCTTCCCAATTCTAGGAATAGTTTCCCTGCTAGGGGCACTTTTCTGAACACGATTAATGAATCCTTATCCTCCCAAAGTTGATATTCTTAGGGGAATAAACACTCATTCTGTAAGACATTAGTTAGTGACAAATGCTTTGAAGAAAGATCACCTAAGTCATAAGTATAGGTGATTATTTTATCGGATGATTGGGAAAGTGAATTATTTACAATAATGTTACATGTTATGATGTTTGGAATAAGGCAAGGAATTAATATTATTTGTGTGTGTAATAACAATTAGTGAAGACACATGATACACATCTGAAGGAGAGTGAAGAGTGCTTTATGGGAATGTGTGGAGGGAGAAATGTTGGAAATTATAATATGCGAAAATAGAAAAGAAAAGAAGGAATAGTTTTTATGTATTGTTTTCACTCAATATATATAAGCTAAATGCCTACTGTCAAGGAGGAAATACCAATATATAGGGTTGCACATAGTTTGAGCATCAACTCCCATTGTGACTACTTCTGTTTTCAGTCTGAAGATTTTTATTCAACAAGCTCTTGTGATACTAAG